ATGCCTCTATTTGGGGGCGGATGAACACCTATGTACCACCTATTTTGATGTTCACCACGGGTACAGGGCTTTGACCCACAGCCATCGTGGCTATGATTTTTTTTTAGGGGTCTGTAACGCGCGACGCGCCACGAATCCTGTTACGGAGGTCTGTAACGGAGGTCCTTGTTACGCAGGTCTGTAACAGCAACAACATTTCCCGACAAGCAGCATCAGCAGCACAATGTGGCGCAGCAGAACAAGGTATGTAATGGCTATGTAACGAGGTCTGTAACGAGGCAAAGCAAGGCGCAGGACGCAAAGCGCGCCTCCGCAGCACCAGCTTGATTGCAGCCACTCAGCGCAAGCCAAGCTGCGGCAAAAAGCAGGGTCGCTGGCCCGGGCTGGGGGTTGGGTCTGTAACGAGGTATGTAACGGCTATGTAACGAGGTCTGTAACGAGGCAAAGCGAAGCGCAGTACGCAAAGCGCGCCTCCGCAGCACCAGCTTGCTTGCAGCTACTCAACATTACTCAACGCAAGCCAAGCTGCGGCGAAAAAGGGGGGTTGCTGGCCCGGGGTTGGGTCTGTAACGAGGTATGTAACGGCTATGTAACAAGGTCTGTAACGAGGCAAAGCAAGCACGCCTCCGCAGCTCTATTCAACCAAACGGCGGCAAAGAGCGGGGTCCCGGGTTGGGGTTGGGTCTGTAACGAGGTATGTGACGGCTATGTAACGAGGTCTGTAACGAGGCAAAGCAAAGCACGGTATGCAAAGCGCCTCCGCAGCTCCAGCTTAATTGCAGCTATTCAGCGCAAGCCAAGCTGCGGCAAAAAGAGGGCAGTCGCGTCACTGGCCCGGTTTGTTCATCTGAGGTGTGTAACGGGGGCGTGTAACGAGGGTGTGTAACGAGGGGTGAGGGGTGTGCAACGAGCCAGCTGGTTTTGTTACTGTAACGAGGTCTGTAACGAATGTCCGCCGCGGCTCTGTTACAGACCCCTCAAAAAAATCACAGCCATCTGTGTCTCGCTTAAGCAAATAGAAGCAGACCACGTTGGACCCCCCCCCCTCCCGTCGGCCCCCGGTCCAGCCCGGCCTGGCGGTGGGCAGCGCCAGGGAGAAGGCCACCTCCGTCGCCTGCAGCACCTCGAGTCGCGCTGTGAGACATCCCACGTGGTGTGGAGCTTCTTTAGGGAACAAAGGGCGGGGAAGCTGGCATTTTGTTGTTTGTTTCTTTCCTTCCTTCCTTCCTTCCTTCCTTCCTTCCCTCCTTCTTTCTTTCTTTCTTTCCTTCTTTCTTTTTTTTGAGGGGGGGGTCGGGTTGGAAAAACAACCATTCTGAGGGGGGGGGAGGCTTGAAATACGAACCTTCCTTCCGCCAGGGGCGGGGAGGGGGGGGGGGGAGATCAGCTTTTTGTGGTTGCTGTTGTTTGTTTGTTTGTTTGTTTGCTTGCTTGCTTGCTTGCTTGCTTGCTTGCTTGCTTGCTTGCTTGCTTGCTTGCTTGCTTGCTTGTTTGTTTGTTTGTTTGTTTGTTTGTTTGTTTGTTTGTTTGTTTGTTTGTTTGTTTGTTTGTTTGTTTGTTTGTTTGTTTGTTTGTTTGTTTGTTTGTTTGATAGTTTGTTTGTTTGTTTGTTTGTTTGTTTGTTTGTTTGTTTGTTTGTTTGTTTGTTTGTTTGTTTGTTTGTTTGTTTGTTTGTTTGTTTGTTTGTTTGTTTGTTTGTTTGTTTGTTTGTTTGTTTGTTTGTTTG